AGCAATGTGCAAAGTTGGCGATAACAATTTAGCCTGGGACTGTTCGCTTCCCAGGGAGAGCTTGACCTCCACTGTCTAATTCATGCAATTTGTATTCATTTGTGTTCTCCAATTTCATAAAGACGGACCCTTGCTCCACCAGAAATGCCTACGGACAAAACTCTCAAGCCATTTTAACAGCGAACATTTCCAGATTACCGTCTATTACATATTCTGGTGGCTCGGTGGATTCTAACGTTGCACTTTAAAAAGGAAGATAGAGGGCCTAAGTGCTTTTGCCTTTAAAGGTAACCAAGTTAAGTGCAATTAAAACTCAAAAGGGGTGAGGGGATTCGAATGCGGTACCATGTCTGTCCGGGCCTATAACTGAAGCCATTTAACCCAATTCTGTACAAGGTAAAAATGGCTTGCTTCTTCGTGGCGTATACACAGGTGCCTTTCTTGAAAAATGTTGGGTTTTTTTTTTTTTTTCTTCTTCTGCTTCTTCGTATTTTCAATGTTAGTATATAAAATATGAAAACATGACACATAAAAGGCTCAGTTAAAAATAAAAAGAAAATGAAAAAAGACAAAATGACATTGAAGGCCACCACTTCACTCTCTAAACAGAACACCTCCCTGCTACACCTCTTTCTCATGTACATAAACGACAAAAAAAAAAAATACATTCATTCAAGTCATTTTGGAACAGTTCTTTTTTTTTCCTTACACAAAATTACAAAAACCTCCAAAAAGCACCATTGAATCGGCCTGTGGTGACTGGGAGCGCTGGGCAGTTAGCTAGCTAGCTAGCTAGCCCTGAGCTGGTCACCTCCACAAAACAATTATCTCATATATGTCCTTAAAGTATACGTGCGCAATACATAGATGTGCACACCATGCTAGGCTGATATCCACCTGCTCTCAGTAATACGTGAAAAAACTTTTTTTTTTTGTTGGCTTTTCATACGTTGAGTTTAATACCTTCACAGGTCATACTAAAAAAATATGCCAATTCGGATTTGATTTTAACACTTTGAAATGTAGTTCCTAATTGACAAGTCAGATTGTTTGCCATATTTTTATCTGTAAATTGGACTCGTTTACTTGACTTGAGGGTCCACCAAGGCGATTGAAAAAAAAAAGTACAGAATCATCTAAGAAGCAGCTGTTCCACCTTATTTGCATGGAAAGTCTCTGAAATAAACATAAAAACTAGGACAAACGGTCATTTCAAATGTAAAGAAATGTATACGACCAGCCAACCATACTGAGACAGAGGAGATATCAGGCAGCAACTATGCATATGGTTTGACCATTATACAAAAATCAACAGAAATCAAAGCATTAGGGAATAGGGGGCGGAGCTACAAAACTATGTACAAGATTGATAAATAAGTAAGTGCGCGGTTTGAGGCGTTGCTTTGGAAACGAGCCTTTTACAAAGAAAAGCGTTCCGTTTCATTGGTTCCCGTCGACGGCGCGCCCCGCTAACAGTTCACGATATTTCGTCATCAGCTCTCTACTGACAACAAAGCTAGCTGAAACACGGAGACAGGCATGCTATTTTGATGCATAAGAGCAATAGACAAAAAAGAAACCGTACTAGATCTGTAGCACTTGCAAATGTTGTTTCTTCTTTTTCTAACTTTTAAGTTTTGTAAAACAACAAAAAGAAAAACATCGATTAAAAAAAAAACGTAGAGATTATTTTTCTCGGGTAATAAAGTCGGGTCCGGGTCATTCAGAAGTTGAAAAAGAGAAGACAACAGGAGGAGTAGTAGTAGTAGTTATATTTCAATCGATAGAACTAATAAGAAAAGCAGCTTTTTTTAATATAAATGCATTTTTTTTTAGCACATACAGCTTTTTCTCTCATAAATGTTTCTCTTTTTTTGTCTTTCGTTGTATCAGTTTGTTTAGTTTGTCTGTCTGGTCCAGCTTATTTTGCTGGTCTGATTGGAAAAAAACAAGTCTCTGCCATAGCAGTCAGTTAAGGGTCATTCACACCACGCTGTCTGAGGAGTGAAGGGAGGAGTCCAGGAGAGGGTGGGGGGGGGGCAGGAGGTGCGGTCAGACGGTCTTGGCCCGTTCCCCGAGGCCCAGGTAGGCCAGGAAGGAGTGTTTCTGGGAGGGGGGGCTCAGAGGGGAGCGAGATGGCGGCGTGAAGGAGGAGGAGGTGGTGGTGTAGGAGGAGGAGGAGAAGAGGAAGGGGAGCGACCTGGCGTGGAATGTGAGGCGGCGGCTGTTCTGGGTGAACAGGGTGGTGAGGGGGATCAGGTAGGCGCGGTCGCAGTTCCTGTACTGCTCGAACACCAGCTGGGAGGAGGCGGGGAAGAGGAGGGAGGAGGAGGAGGGGGGGGCGCCGGGGCTGGGGGCGGCCGGGGCTCGACTGGAGGCGGTGGGGCCGCAGTGGCTGGCGTAGAAAGTGGGCTCCGGCTGTTGTTGGGGGGACTTGCCCAGCGTGAGGGACAGGGCCACCGACTGCAGAGCCTGGGAGGCAGTCAGGCTGGACAGGGGGCTGCTGCTCCCGCTGCCTCCGCTGCTGCCCCCTCCACCCCCACCGCCCCCGAAGAGAAACACCTCATGGCTGTGCCTCTTGGACGCCGGCCCTCCGCCGAGCGGCCCTGCCTCCCTACCGCCCCCCGCCGCCTCCTCCTCTTCATCCTCTCCTCCTCCTCCTCCCCCTCCTTCGCCGGCCTGGTGCTTCTTGAGGTGGCGGCTGAACACGAAGGGGTGCGTGGTGGAGAAGGGGCACTCGCCGCAGCCGAAGGTCTGGCGCGGCGCGTGCTTCAGCTTCTTGTGCAGGTTGAGGTTGTCCTTGCGCTTGCAGCTGTACGCGCAGCGGTCGCAGTGGAAGGGCCGCTCGCCCGTGTGCACGCGCACGTGCTCGATGAGCTTGTTGGCCGTCTTGGAGAGGTAGCCGCAGCGCTCGCACCTGTAGTGGTTGCCCAGGCGGTGGGCGCGGACGTGGGCGTCCAGCGAGGCCTGGTCGGCCCACAGTGCCTGGCAGATGCGGCAGCGGTACTCCACCTTGCAGTGGGTCTTCAGGTGGCACTCCATGGCTGCCGGGCGACTGGTGGAGTAGATGCAGAGCGGGCACCTGCAGGAGAGGGGTTGGGGTAGGCAATCGGACGGGTGGACAGAGGGAGGGTAGGGGTGGGATTGGGGGTGATGGAGGGCAGGAGATGGGGGGGGGGGGGGGGGGGGGGGGAGAGAGAAGAAGGGAGGGAAGGAGGGAGAAAGGAAGAGTGTGAGGGCAGTGGGGAGAGGGGAGGTGGGGAGGCAAGCACAACACAACAGCAGAAGACATTGAACGTGAGGGGGTGTAGCGGTCACAAGGAGAATCAATTCACACCTTGGAGATTTAAATTTAAATACACAGCGGGATGAAGAAGAGGAAGAGGAGGAGGCAGGTGAGGGAACGGTTATGTGCAATGTGTACAAATACTTTGTTTGGTTTTACAAGGTAACGTGTGTGTGTGTGTGTGTGTGTGTATGGTTATGTGTGGCGTCTTTAGACGTGCGTGGAGATGACATGGGGTTTGTGCGTGTGGGGCAGACGAGCTGAGGAGGAGGAGGAGATGGGAGCAGTGGGACATGGAAGGAGGAAATGATGAAAAAATGGAGTGGCACTTACATTTAAATAGCACCTTTCATCTGCTCTGGGCCCCAAAGCGCTTCACAAACCCTGCAGAACAGAATCACCTCAGAAAAACCTCAGATGGACAAGGCCCTCTCTCCCTCTCTAAACACTGTTTACATACTTGGCCGTCTTTGTATCTACTAAACAAGCTAGATTGCAAAATCATAGCTGATCTTATGGTTCCTTAAGGTCCATAAAGAATTATATCGTATATATCAGGTTCATACTGTGTATCTGCCTGCTCTTCTCTCCCTTTCCTTTAACAGAAAAGGCAGTTTTTTTTAATGATGACCTCTGTATAGTTATGCAAATGTCATTGCCGTGAAATGGCGCTTTCAATATCTTTTTATTTTGGATTACCTATACAATTCATGTGTATATTTTGAAATACAAAAATATAGACCGTCTTACTCGGCCATTTGGCTTAACTGAGAAGAATATATTTATTTTAGCAACTAAGTTCTTTTTGAATAATTTAGTTTACAATACAGCTCAACACTACAGTTGGTGACAGTTATTAGAGTTACACTGGACTATAAAAATACTTTATAAATACTTTATAAGAGTGCCATTAGGCTTTAAAGGGGCTGGTTTGAATATGCTGCAGGCTAAGGGCTTCACATAGCTCTCTAGGCTGTGTCTAATAGAAAACTACAATTCCCACACATTTAGAGGTGGAGACACCCTGGAACCACAGATGACTACACAGAAACACGATGTAAAACACAGTTATTTGCTCATGACAGGATGAAGCGATATCCATAATGACAATCAATGACTCCGCACATGCAAATACCGTCATGGCAACTAAAAAGCAACAGACAATGACTGTCGTGTTAGTTGAAATGCATAGCGGTTTTGCCAAAGGACATACATTTGGGGATGCAATTGTTCTGAGTGTGGTACATTATAATGGATCGGGTACATTATGAAAAGACATCGTTACTGTGTGCTGTGGCGGACTTTAGAGTCGATATAAAACGTCTACGCGCCCTTTTAAATGTTTTAGCTTTTACTGCCTCGAGGCCTGAAATGGATACCCATTAAAATGTAGGATTTTTTTTATTATAGGGAAACCAGCAAAAGCGAGGTTAAGAGCTCTGAGATCTTGGGGTCAAGAGCTTTTTATAAGTCCTATTCTGATGAAGGGTCGAGATTAGGAGGAGGCGATGGTGTACATATCCTTGAACTGCGAGGGCCATAATCAAAATGAGAGGTGAAATGTAGCACCTCTGGGACCCTCATCTGGATCAGAATGTATAACAGGGAATACACAGTATTTATAACACTGCCCCCTATGTCTCTCTATATTTAGTAAATTATGTCATTTGATTTGATTCCAATTACACTTACGAGCAGGTAGGGATGAGGCGTCTTGCTCAAGGACATTGGGGTTCGAACCCAGGACCATTTGGCTGGGAGGCAAATGCCCGAACCACTAGTCTATCCTGCATCTCTTCATGGAAGAAGGACAATTCAACTGCATTTTCAAGATCATTCTGTACGCCTTGAATCTGGCCATTTTGTACAAATAATAGTGAGGCAATGTGATGGTGATGTAAAACTTATTTCAGACCTAAACTCAAGAGTTATAATTGGCAAAGAGCCAAGGTGACCCACTGCTCCTGGTGGGAATAAACATATAACTATCATGTTGTAGAGCTGTCACTTCAGCTTTATTTAACACAGTGGAAATAAAACCTTTGCAGCTTGTGCTGGTCACAGTTCCCCATTTTAAAACAAGCAAGCAAAGCAAAGTATTGAATGCTTTTCGTTACAGCGGTTAGTGCAAGAAAGAACAGGGTTTTCACAGCCGGCTTTCACAACCAATGTAGGTGGAACATATGCAGTATGTGCTTCATGTTTACTCGACAGGCTGGGAATGTCCTATAAATATGTTGGGGTACAGCGGAGGCTCCTGTCGAGTTAAGAGTGGAGGGCCAGAGAGCGGGATTCATGTTTTGTGTATGAAATAATATTGTAGCATCATATTTGCGTCATGTTTTCTGAAGGAAGGGCTTCTTAGTGCTGGTGCTGGTGAAAGCATGGCCATCCTAACACACTCTGAGATCAGCGTTTAACCTAAGTTGCTAGCCAGGCTTTATCCATTGAGATGTATGACATTCCAAACATGCTTGTCCGCAAATGAAGAACGTTAGCCTTGAGATGTGGGGATGTATGGCAGCCGCATTTGCTAACCTGTAGGTTAATTAACTTAAAATATCCGAGGCCACATATCATTATATAAAAGTAAACTGTATATAAAATCTAAATCTAAATAAATATATTCCAAGGAATTAGATCATTACATTATACTATGCATGAATAAGGGAATTATGTAGCCAATAATAATTCAAATTGAAAGATTGGAGACCCATTTCAATAGGTGGACATTGGCTCACCCATGATAACGTGTGTGTGTGTGTGTGTGTGGCAAAACAGGGATGGGTGGGTGGTTCGCAGTTTGGGGTGGTGGAGGTAGAGTTCAGGGCGGGTGGGGTTGGAGGTGGTGGGGGGGGGGGGGGGTTGGAGATGGTAGGGTTGGTGGTGGAGGTGGGGTTGGAAATGGTTGGGTGTGGTGGTGGTGGTGGGTTTGGTGATGGTTGGAGGTGGTTGTGGTGGTGGGGTTGGAGATGGTGGTGGAGTTGAAGATGGTTGGGTGTAGTGGTGGTGGGGTTGGAGATGGTTGGGTGGGGTTGGCGGGTTTGGAGTTGGTTGGGTGGGGTTGGAGGTGGCGGATGTTGGGATAGGTGGTCGGGAGATAGAGGTGCTGGTAGGGTAGGTAGGAAGATGGAGGTGGTTGTTGGCAAGGACATGTATACATAGACGCCGCATTGACCTCTTCGGCCCGTTGCTGCGATACGGCAACGTCGCCGCCATATTGGAGAGGCGACGAGGTTTTTCTGGATAAAAAAGCACTATAACATTTACATTTCTTAACCGATTTCAATGAGTCATTTCCATATTCAAGGTTTTATGATCTACGTGGAGTACATAAAGAATTTTGTCTTCAGTGACTTCCTATTTTGTACTTCACGGCCAGTCTTGCCCTCTCCAATATTGCGGCGATGTTGACATACGATCAGAGGCCAATGCGGTGTCTATGTATACATGTCTATGGTTGTTGGGGTTGGGTACTTGGGAGGTGGCGGTGGGCAGGTGTGAGCTAGGAACCTCTTAATGTCTGTACTTGCTTTCCTTACTTGAGTCCTCCGGAGGGGACGGTGTGGCACTTCTTGTGCTCCAGCAGTTGCTCGGGCGTCTTGAGGAACTTGTGGCACACGTCGCACTCGAACATGCGCGTGATGAGGTGGATCTGGAGGTGGCGCTCGTACATGCTGCGCGTCTTGCATACGAAGTTGCAAAAGACGCACTCAAAGCCTGGGGGGGCAAGAAGAGGGGGAGACAGAGAAAGAGTGAGTACTGCCGAGAGGAGAGATAAGGGAAGGCAATAAAAGTGTTCCAAGAGAGAGAGCCTATCATGTTAGGATATGTTTTGGTAAATTATGTCATTTGGCTGCGTCTATATTGCATGGGATTTTCAAATAGTCATCTCTGTCACAGTCTGAGATCATCGCAGCCTTTCCAAAACAAGTACGGTGGTTTTGCCAAGGTGTATCTTTTGTTTGTTTTTGTGTTTCTGTATGGCTAACGGTAAGCTCCAGTCTTTCCGATGGCAATTAGTCCTACTAGCTTGATGCTACAGGAAGTCCAGTGAGTGAGGTGCCATTATGGGCAATCACTTCCAAGGGCTATTGTGTATGAACCCATTATCAGGACCAGTAAAGAGCTGTGTGCCCAGAGTATTCACTAAATCCCTTGCCTTTCTCAGACTTCTCCTCTGTTCCTGATCCCGAGTGGCTTCCGGAGCTGGATTGGCTCCCTGCAGAAGAAGGCGGGGCTAACAGGTTCTTGAGTTCTTCAGTGCTGTGGGTTAGGTCGCCGCTCTCTGAGCTGTTGAGCGAATCGCTGAGGGCCGAGAGCGAGGAGGAGGTGCTCTTGGTCTCGCTCAGTGGACTCCGGGAGTTCAGACCTGGAGACAGGAGGCGGGAAAACAGGAGGAGGGTAAAAACATGCAATGATTTATGTTATTGTTATGCTTAACCTTCACTATAGTTTTGCCAACTTAGTCATATCTTTGGTTTAATGGAAGCAATAGGCCAGGGTTTTTTTATGTGTAATGTTGATTAAAAAGCAGTAATGCACAAAATAATAATGGCATATGAAGTCATTTGACTGTTTGCAATTGTATGTAATTAAGAGAATCTCTAATTAAAACACACACACACACACACACACACACACACACACACACACACACACACACACACAGGGGCAGCTTCAGCAGCAGTATCAGAGAACAATGTGTGCTTTTATTGATCCCACTCCTCCATCTTGTAATTCACTAGCATGGAGGTAGAGAGAGGTAGAGAGAGAGAGAGGGCGGGGGCAGGGGAGAGAGACCAGGGTCATGGTCAAAGGACCTAAGATGGCGACGGCCATCTTAAAGCACAGCCAAAACAAAAAAGACATTCACTCAGGAAATGAACATCTCACATTCACAATGAACACGCAGAGATAATGTTATTTTGTTTTAAAAATCAGGCAAACAAGGCAATTTGCAGCTAATTTTAAACGGTGCTTTCAAAGCGGCTGCTGAAATCCCCAGGGAGTTTAAAATCCGGGATTTGCTTCAGAACAGGTTAATTAGGGTCTTGTTGGCATACAGTATGCACGCTCCAAGTGCGATAAATGATTTACTTGTCCATCTATAGATACGTGACCTTAAACATTTCCTCCTGCCCTCGATACGGATGTTAATTTGGCAGGATTATCTCAGTGTGGACTGACCTCCCCTCATACTGTAAGACAAGCTGGACCTATCAGCTGCTGCACCCACACTTCCTGCGCTCCTCTCTTCACATCAGCTCGGCACACCTAGCTAGCGCATTATTGCACATATAACGACTAAACCTAGTCAGTGCTAATCAAAAGCTCGAAGATATTTAGCGTTATTGAGCAGTATTTAACCACAGGTATGTTGAGTTATGTTTTGTTTTTTTGGTGGATGCGTATTCATAACCTCATCTTTCAATTCATAAATACATTTAATAATTACATTTTAAGTTCCTAGAGCTGTTAACATGTACTGTTTATTTAGCAGATGCTTTTATCCAAAGTGACAAACAAGTTAAATCAGATATATTTAATTCAGGAGGTGGATAAGCTATCTCTCTCAAGGAGTCCTACAGGTAGACTGTGGACACCAGGGATTGAACACCCTCACTACTACTCTATCCCGCCGCCCATGGGGGCCAAAACGATGTCGTCTGTTGTCTCGTTGACACAGCGCGTGATACGCAAGACGAGCCAAACTGACAAGAACACGTGATGAACGCAAACAAAAGGAACGATGGACTCCGTCTGGTAGCTTTTGCATCATTTTGAAATAAACAGGTAATATTCAGGCACACCGTACCAACCACACTGCAAGTGCTAACGGACACGGAGCCGGTCTGGCGCAACACTTCATGGGTAGAAAATAACCACGGGCCAGACCGTCCCTATCTCCTGTAAGCTGTGTCCCTGCCCGGCTAAGCAGGACACCAGACCACTTCCTCCATTCAGCGGATGCCAGCCTTCACAGCAGGATGTCGGTTTGACACCTACCATGCCCAGCCAGTTCCAGTCTGGCTTTTTCCAACTCGTTTGGACAGATAAACCCGTGATTTATGGGATCCAGTTTGAGTCCTCCCTCATAGAGGTGCTTTGTTCATCGCATCTGCTAGAGTTTTTTTTCGTAACTTAGGAGAGAACATGGTGTGAGATATCGACTTGAGCCACATGGTGAGGTGAGGTCACACCACGCTGAATAAATGTGTCAACAGATTTTTCTTTCTTCGCTTTGGTCGTCAGCACACATTAAGCCGGCATTTTCCACCAGCAAACTGAGCTTTTTGAAAGCAGTCTCCTAAGAGGATAATTATGAAAAAGGGTCTTGCGTTGATGTGTGGTAGATGGGCAAAGCCTACTTTTTGACAACGTATAATTGTGAAAACACTAGCAGTGATGGAAAACGGCACAAAAACAGTGTATTCACATATATCTGGGGTAGTGTGGACATCAGTACGTCGGTGACAAAGACCGCGTTCTACTTTCCAGACTCTGTTGTGCAGTGGAAACACCACACAGAGGACTGGGTCCAGGTTTTGGGGTACTATGCGTACCTTGCCATGCCAAAGTGCAAAAACGGCAGTGGGGAGTCCATCTTGTGTGGGTATGAGGTAAAATGCCAAGCCCGACCGAGGGACTTAAAAGATGGCCGCAGTGGCATCGTAAACCCAGCTCATCTCCAAAGGACCCAAGGCCTATTGATTTTCTCCCCCTCAGGCGCGATAAGGGGCCAGCCCTCTTAGATAAACAAGGCCAGTGTGGCCTCTGAAAGACCCCAGA